TGCTAAACCAGACTGAGAACGAAACAAATCGTGCCCCTAAGTCGACTTGTCTCATTAGGTTTGCCGCCTGATTCCCACAACTCGGAGTATTCTCCCCATTCTCATGTACGGCTGACAGTCGGATTGGATTCGGTCAATGCGATGCTTTTCGTCCGCTCACGCGGGGCCCTGACCCACACAGTATCATAAATGACAGGCTGGGTGGTTGGATTGTTGTTGTTTCACGAGAATAGGCAGGCAATAGCAGTTGCAATGCGCGAGGAACCATGAGTGCATCTAGCCGATTTTGATATATACATGAGGCTTAAACAGATTTGATGCCGAGTTAAATCAGCACGCTTCTTTTCAACGGATTGCAACTATTTGTTGCTTTAAATTTAACAGGGATAAGAAATTGAAACACACACATGGTGAATCATGCATATGATGATTGTAGTCGAACTGACTGGGACTTGACTGCCAAGAGTGAAAAAGTTCATAAACAATAGTTCACAACCAGCGAATCAGATAGACGCCGTCTTTCGCTCTGTTAGACGCCGTACGTTATCAAAGCAAAACCAAAAACATATAAACTCCGAATTACGAAATCAGAAGACTATGAGGGACTTGTGATCTGATGTGCAGTGTATAAGCCACAAAATCGTGAGTGTAACACAGAGTCGGTCAGTGATCAAGTCTAACAAGGTGAAACTCCAAGCTATTTTTCTACGCTCACAGTAAAAACAAACGGTTTCGGGATAGGAAGAGGGGTAATGAAAAGACAGCTGGAAATGGAACGTCATGAATACGGTTCGTCAAGCTCCTATTCATCGATAGTGAGTTACACGTTGGATCTGATCGAGCGAAGGTTTAATTAATTTGTTTAAACCTCACTTGGGCTATCGAATGAGTTATTAGTTGGAGATCCTAGTCATCAGCAGGTGTATGTGTTTGCGGGAGTCGGGGTGGAGGTGGACGGAAGATAAACACAGTAGTGAACTTACAACAGCAATGCTTTTCCAATCACAAAAAGCGGTTTGAAGTTATCGGCTGATTATGCCCTCTGCATACATAAGGATGTTACATAGTTATTGAAAATCGATCTAACGGGGATCCTTCGCTGGGTGAGAAAAGATCACTAATAGAAAAATCCTTGAAGTCTACGAGGCGATCGAGCAGAGTGAAAGAAGTCACGAAAGATTTCAAGTACCATAATTAACGAAATTCAGAATGAACAGCATTCCGATTTCGCTAGGCATTTTTCCTCTCACAGACTGATAAACTGATAAATAATTGTATGAATAAGTTTGTAGATTCATCTCGTATGTAACTTATGCTAACTGTAGCGTGATATTTCCCATATGGCACTGTATTGTACCCCGATCATCGAGCTGTCTATTGGACTAGAAAGTAAAATTCATCAAATCTAGTTACTCAAATCGGTCAAGAGGAAGTGATTAGTTCGGATCCAACCTGAACTAAGACATTTCTCTGTTGGCTTTTGTTTGATTCCCCGAGCCTTCTGGCTAAATAAGTGTCCTTGTAAAATGTGCACGCGTTAAACGAAAGTGAATACTATCAAAACCTGGTCGTGATGAAAAAACGCAAAGGTGATACTTTTATTTACCCCTAATCATAAATGAACAGGCGAATATTTTTTCAAACGCTTCATCCTTACGCGTTGATATTCTCAGTGGAGTTGTTTGACCGGTCAGCTGAATTATCAAGCTAAAAAAAACACCAAACTGGTCAATCTGAACCACCGAAACAACGCTAGCACTGTTTAGGCAGTGTAGTTAACTATAGGTTTCCGAAAGTTTTTCAAAGCTCGAAGTCAAATTCTAAATCTTCAAACCATGTTCATTCGAACATTAGCTTAGCAGTGAGCAGCTGCTTACTTGCATGCTTGTATCGTTTAGTTTCCATCGGACGAATGATAAACTAGGAATCTGAGTTGTAAACACATCCAACTGTCTGTTTCATGAAGTATGGAGAGGGTTCATGGCCTGAGTCAGAAAGCTCTGATCTTCATTTTCATCCCGATTACAACAGTCAGTCTCGCGTTAACAAAAGGGACTACGCCATGAAAAACATCTACCCACCACCCAAGGAACAATGAGACAGGACCGGAGGGGAATTTGAAGGAGAATAGGCGGTTGCTTGTCATTCAGGTGNGCTCATCCATCCACCGTATTCGGATGATTGCTCCAACTTATCACTTTGTCAGTCAGTCGTTCCTATTACTGACTAGTGTCGCGTTTTGTCACCGATGTATACACACGAACACACACACACACACACACGCACACACGTTTACAATTTGTTCGAAAGGGATGCATCCCAATATGCTTGTCTGTGTGCACGTTTGTGTGATCCTAAAACTATGACCTTTGTGGTTGAGTGTTAAAGCTAGACATGTTTGTTTCCGGAAGTGATGACATCTTCCAATACTTGACAAATATCTGTCTGTCTGTTATCTCTGTGTATGTGCGTTTATGCATGCACATACGTACAGGTAAATCAAAGATCTTACAAGTTCACTATCTCCTGATCGCCAACCTTGTGACCGTCAGGATTTCCCCGGCTCAGAAAGTCAACTGGTGTTTCAAAGGATAACGACGGATAGTAGTAATAGTAGTGGTAATACGCGTATGGGGGTTGTGGTGAGCAAGACAACCCGGCAAGCTCGTCAAACATGATGCGACCCGCATCGGCGACATGAAACGTAATGGCCAGGTACGGACTCTCGTTCATACTGTGGATTGCTGCTTTTAGGGGGTGGCGCAGAGGGGCAATTAAATTTGCCCCATCGAAATGTAGGTGTGGGGATCAAATGGCGATGTCCTGGGATTTTTCAAACACTCCTCCTCATCACTATCGTTATCACTTTCAACAAAACCAATGCAAAATTACTCACAGGAAGGGTGACCCAAGTGAGTAGCTTGGGTTGAAAACTCGTAGCGTTGGAGCAGAGAAGTCAAGGTGGTGGGGATCATGATGACGGGTTATTCAGTTCATGCTGCCAGTGCGATTGCGAATGTTTTTCCGAAGCGACCATGTGCGGGGACGAAGTTTCGGTTGAGGTCGGGGAAATTATACGTTCTTAAAACCACCACTTGAGCGATGGAATGAGTGAGTGCTACCGTCGAGAGGGACAAGGGTCATTCGAATTGTCAAATCCAAGGTAATAAGGGGTTTGGTTACGAACACTCATTAAAACTATGCTGACAATGACACGAAACTGATCGGAGGGTACAGTTGGAGATTGCAATGGACGAGGAACCAGCGTGGTGATGGTGGGGTAGGAATGAACAATACTGAAAACTGGTTGATAAACGGAACACTCAAGTTGTGAATGGAGTGGCGTAGAACGGTCAAAATGGACCACCAAAATACATATTTGTCTTTGTCGTAAGATCATCAGTGCTGGAGGACCAATCGTATGCCTAACGAAATACCATGTATGCCCACCAATGACCGCATTAAGTGAAGTTATACTTAGTTATTGGGATCAAACCACTATAGTGAAAATTTTCTTTGTCATTCAATAATGAATTACGCAATCGATTGCGGATAGTTGGCCATCCTTTAAGCAAACCAGAATCCCTTTTATACACACAGCAAGATATGTATGCTATGTTGGACCCACCAAAAAATATATTTTCATTGGTAGACGCTTTTACACAGTTTTGAAATTCAGTATACAACGGCATTCCTTTGAGACGGGTAGTCAGTGTCGACAACAAAATCAGGACCGCTATCATCATAGGTTCCCTTCGGCCACAGTTTGAAGTAACTACTTAGTTTACAGCTTCCGTGGTGCATTTTATACCCTTGGTAATGCGCAGAAAGTCATCTGACTACGAGATAGTAGATTTAGGACTGTGTCCTTTGGGAACGGAGGAGGGGGGGGGCATAAAAACGAACAAACAAGGGAAAAAACAACTTACCCGAATGCTTCCGGTAGTGTATACGCAATGCACTGGAACAGTTGAATGTTTTATTGCACAAATCACACTGCCTGGCTCGCGGATTGGATTGCATGGAATTGGGTGAGTGGTCCGTG